CTCCCCCTCCCCCTCCCCTTCCCCTTCCCCACGCCACGACCGCACGGGAGCGTGGGAACCGTGTTTTACCGACGATAGTGGCGATGGAGAAGAGAGGAAAATATTGTAGTGGATATCTGAACATTCAGGAACATATGCAAAGTGTATGGTTTAAGTTGTTTGTTGGCGTAACCTGTGACCGTAATGCAGGAGCGAGTCTAGGATTATGAGGGCAGGGGTAATTTGACTTGTGAAAAATAACACGCACTAATTTTTTTTCCGAAATAACACAAAAAAATGTTAGCTTGTAATTAAAAACCGAATATTTGTAAAAGATGCACTCCCTGGCATTGGAGGCGACAGGAATAGTTTTAATAAATGAATGAATAAATTGATAGAAGACAATTTCCTTGGCATTCTTCCGTGTCCGCCAATCAGATGATACAAAGAATATCAATTCATTTGAATAGCGCCCAAAGAATATACAAGAATTGTCAAGAAAGTAAAATATAACAATTATCAAAATGTATTGTCTACAGTAGGGATGCTGTAGTAAGTGGATTAAATATCAATAAAATTGAATATATCGTTAGGAATAGGAAGAGAGAAACTAGATTTTAGAATAGTTGTTTTTGCAAATGAAATACCATGTAATGGCGCGAGAACGGTGTCCGAAAACGGAGAATAATAGTTTGAGAGCAGTGAAAGTGCAGAAGACGGGGGAGGCGGCGGCGCTGCTGCTGGTAGCGATTGCGGCGAAGAGATGGCAGCACGGGAGGTGGCGGGGCGTCGCGCGGGACGGTGGAGGCCGGGAGGGGATGGCGCGAGCTCGTGTAACATGGCTCGGCGGCGGCAGCGCGGGTGGCGGCGCAGACCCAATATAAAACCCGGTGAACACCCGCTCGACCGGCAAATGAGCTTCTCTCCGTCTTTCAAATTCATTTTGCGAGTTTGTTGAGGAAACTTTCTTTTTTAGATTTGCTTTTCCCGTCTCTTTCTCTTTTCCCTCGCACCGTTCCCCCGTTCCTCGTCTTGCTCTCAGTCGGCGTGGCGCGGCGCGGCGCGGCGCGGGCGGCGGCGGAGGCGGAGGCGGTGGAAGAGGTGGTGGAGGTGACGGTGGCGCTGTCTGTCGCCTCCGCGAGACGTTGGGACGTGTAGTGCCACGAAACGAGGCGGTCACAGGGTGCGACTCAAAGAACGCGAAGCGACGTGCGAAATAAGAAATGCGAGTACAAAATACCGCTTATAAATTTACCATAGGCGACGTCAGTGTGGGGCAAGAAAGCGATCTGTGGAATGTACAGGGAAGTCAGTAGTGAGCGTTGCAATTGTTACTTCAGAGTATGCCAAAAATAAAAATGCCGAGAACATGTACGTTGAGAGATGGTTTTCTAAATATGTGTGTGAGCGTGAGTACTTCTGAGTCTGCATCCCATAACCAATTTACATTCTTGATTCCTTTGAATAGAATCAAGACGTCATACCTTAATAAGTCATTGAGTACCAGACATTAATTTATCAATGTAAATATTTAATTTGAAAATATATTATAATATTTAAAATTATGTTATTGAATAATTATCTAATAATAGTGGTTGGATATTATACAAGAAGTGCATTATCAGTAAAATTAATTTGGCTGTAAGAAAATGTACTTTGTTTGACCACCAAAACTTTTCATATTAGACGTTTTGAAGGAAATAAAGGCGTTTTTCCAAAACATTTCTTCGTCCGTAACTCGTAGCTGGCATGAAAATTTAATAGCGCTAATATTATTCAGCTTGCATTCATAAATTTAAACAAATCCATCAGTATTTGTGCTCTAAAAATTTGTTCACATGGTTCCACCAATGTTACGTGCCGGCATTGTTCAAGGTTGTTTTTACGCATCCCACAGCGCGTCGTTTGAAATGTTGCCGGACAGGTAGGCCAGATCTGTGCTGCAGCGTGTACCGGACAGCGGCCGGCCGCCGCCACCCGCCGCCCACCCGCCACCTACCCGCCTCCCCACACCCCACCCACCGCCACCCACCCGTCCCACAACGCAACCCACCCCGCCCACCCACCGACTCCCCACACCGCCACCACCGCACCCACCGCTCCCCACACGCCACCCACCGTCCCACACCGCACCCACCCGCTCCACACCACCCACCGCAGCACCAACCCCGACTCCCCACACGCCACCCACCCGTCTCACACGCCACCACCGCTCCCCAACGCCACCCACCGCTCTCAACCCGCCCACCGTCGCCCACCCGACGCCCGCCGCCATTCCCACCCACACGACTAGTTGTTGCAGCCCCCTCGCCGCCGCTCCGTTCTCTTCGCCTCCCGCTACTTCCCTGACCACACCGTCCAGCTTGTCCCGACCAACCCTGTGCTCACCGCGCTCACCCACTACTACCCCACCTGCCGCCCCGCCCCGTCCCATCTGCCCGTCCGCCAGCTCCCCCCCGCGTCTCTCCGATCCAGCCCAGCCGTCCGACCGCCGCCCAGGCGACGACCGCCCACCGTCCGACCTGCCAGGCTCCGGTTCCCAGCCTTTTTGCGGAGCAGCGCTCATTCCGCTCTTACAGCTCAATTTGCGTTTAAAATGTCCCATTATTTCGGCGACCATTCGAGGGCCCCCGCCCCGCCCTGCGCTTTTCTTCCGCGCGCCGCCTGTTAGGAATATTGATGACCGCCCCGCGAGCCCGCGTTTGGAAGCCGCTCACACGCGGGTTACCGTTACGCCCGCGGACCGCCCGCCTCGCGCTGCACCGCGCCGCGCGGGGCGATCTAGTTATTGCCCGCGTGCTGCCTTTGTTCTGGGGCGAGCCGTGATTGGCACCGCGGTGGCGCAGACGGCGGAGTTGCTGGACAGAAAATGTCTCTCTCTGCACTCTTTTCGAGGTTTTTTAACGTTTCGGAAACTTTTTCGTTATCAGGGATTATAGTTAACCGGTTTGATTTATTGTATTAAATATATTACATATACATAATATAAATATAAATTTGGGCGATGCATAATATTAAAGATCACCAAATTTCATTGTTGTATTTAAGTTTTGCTATTTTATCATTATGTTCAACATTATATGTATAATAACATTATATTTGTTAATATGAGATTTATGAATTGAAATAAATAAAAAGACGTGCATAAAGGAATAAAGAGAAGAGTAGCAGGATGAAATAAACTATTCGATTGTATGTAAAGTAATCTCAAAAATATGTATTACAAAAAACTAGGTGAACTTTAATATAGTACTTACCAGTACAAGTTTATATTTGTATATGCATTACGTGGTATGTTTCGTATATTATATCAAACTATGTAGAAAAATTAGTTGCATATAAATTACTTTTTTGCTATATTTACGAATTTCAAAAAAATGGACATTATTGTATATTGAAATTTTATATTAATGTGACAAAACAATAACAAGAAACAATTTTTTTAGAGTTTTTTTTTTGCAGCTCGGAAGGGTGGGGGAGAATTTGCTGATGTCATTAATACGAAAAGAAATTATAAATTCTCCACAATACTCTGAAGTATTTATCTTGTCGGAAATTTAGATCTTAGAATGCAAATTCAAGCATGTCTACTTTCTAAGAATGTGCTCAACAGCAAATAATTTCCGCGATTTATCTAATGGTTACCTATTTTCAGAGATATCGAGTGATATCCCCCAAACTTTTTACTTACTACAGAATATATCCAAATATGTGACAATATATATAAAAGTTAACACAACCACTCATTTTGATAATTAAAAAAAATAACTAGAATTTCTCGGCCACTGCAATATCGCGTGTACTGAACAGTCAAGTGA